GGCACCAGGAGCAGTGGCAGCGGCAGTACCAACAGCAGCGGCAGCAGTAACAGCAGCAGCAGCACAAATTCATTAAAGGTCAAGCAGCAGCGATGTGTTGTGAGGAAAAACTCTCTTCTCTCCTGCGGGAGTTTTTGAGGTGTAATCATAGTGGAGAATGATCAAAGCCTGTCTTTGCTCTGGGCTGGACAGCTATTGGATTGGAATTTTTTTTTTTTTTTTTTTTTTACAGCGCTGTTTCTCATGTCTCTGCTGACTTAAAAGAATCCACACTACTGCGCAGTGATGTCTTTTTACGCAGCGATTCATAGACAAGTGTGTTCTACCCGACCAGACCACAGGAACAGATTGAAACAGTGATTGGTACCGATGTTACTGCTCTACACACCATCTCCATCCATGTCATCATCACAGGCGTCTCCCCTGCCGTCACTGTCAGTGTCCCTCTGGTCAGGGTTGTCCACCAAACGGCAGTTGTCACAGGCGTCGCCGTGACTGTCTTTATCACTGTTCCTCTGGTCCACGTTGGGCTTCAACCAGCAGTTGTCCTGAGGCAGAGGAGCGCAGCAGCATTGGTGTGTGTGTTGTATAACATTTGCTTTTAGTGCACCACGATTTTCATTTTTTTACCACTTTTAGTTCCGTAAAAGATTCTTTAATATATTTATATATATAACTTTATCATCTTCATAGGCCTGAGGGAGTTCAAACTGATGAAGGGTGAAATGCTGTCCTTCACAGCACCATCCACAAGTTTGTCTAGAGCATATGTGTCAAACTCAAGGCCCGGGGGCCAAATGCGGCCCGCCAAGCCATTTTGTGTGGCCCGTGGAAGTTTTTATAATAAACCAAATAATAATCAATTCTAGAAACATGTATCAGTCTGTTATGGAGTAGTTACATCTATATCAGTGGTCCTCAACCTTTTTTGTTCCAAGGACTGGTCAGCCAGTACCACCTGTTACTACAGACCACTAATAAGGAGCATTGAAGAATCATTACATTTGCAAAATAAAACTTCTTTTAGACTCTGTTCTGTTTGTATCAGAGTCTGAATTACCTATTATTTTTTAAAAAGATTGTCAGATTATCTTTAAATAAAGAAAGTAAATGGATATGACTACATTTTTTTGAATGAAGTAAATTAGTAAAAATGAAGTACATTTTTTCACTGTGTCCCACTGCGGCCTGGTACCAAATGACCTCTGGACTGGTACTGGTCCGTGGACCAGAAATTGACAACCGGCCCTTCAAAGAGAACTGTATTGATGATGTGGCCCCCGGTGAAAATTAGTTTGACACCCCTGGTCTAGAGTGTGTACTTTTGGAAGTGTAAGGAAGGATGGAAGCCAACATTCTAACAGTTGACCTTGTCCCTGTGAGGTAACGACATTGAAAGGGTTGATGAACTAATTTATAAGGTGGAAAATACTTGGAGAGATGAGTTTGAGAATATTAAAAATGGACAGCTGTGTGTGTTTTGTGCTGGCGTTGGTTGTGGCTGTAAGTCGTTTCCTCTTGACTTAAAGGTCTGGTTTGAACGGTGTGATCTCAAAAGGAAAATCGAAGCGGAGGATAAATATCACTGCATCGTTGCATGTGATTGACGGCTGCATTGTTAAGTAAGGAGGAGCTGGATGACGAAACACCGTTAACCGCTTTCACCGTTACTTTTTCCCAAAGAGCACCTGACAGTAGAGCTCCTATTGGACAATATGGCTTTTTTTTTTTTAATCACTGACAAATAATTTTCAGCCTTCAACTTCCTTGACATTCTTCCCTGGGTTTGAGTTTTCTTCATTTTTTTTTAATCATGTGTTTGAGCAAGAAAATGCTGTGACTTATATATATGTGGACTGTCTGTTTGTTAATAATAATAATAATAATAATAATAATAATAATAATAATAATAATAACCATAATAATAATAATAATCATAATAATAATAATAACTTTAACCATTTTATATAGTTATGCTATTATTATTAATTTAATTATTTAATTATTAATTAATATTATTATTAATGAATTGTTAATTAATACTATTATCATCATAGCATTAGTGTGTGAGTACATTGGCGTGAATGGGTTGTTGTCAGCAGAAAAACACGTCTTCCATTTCACCACAAGTCTAAAAAACACACTCTGTTTCATGGACCTGTGTTGTGTCTTACGTCCACCACGGTGCTCAGGTCCATAAAGTACTTGTGTTTTGACTGACCTGTTCATTTGGAATGCCGTCGCCATCCGCATCGTCATCGCAGGCGTCTCCGTCTCCGTCCCTGTCAGCGTCCTCTTGACCAGAGTTAGGAACGTAGACACAGTTGTCCTGTGGCAGTGACATGATTAGTCGAAAGGCTGACGCTTCAGGTCAGAGTTTTTATTAAAAGCGATGCCGTGTTTACCTTTCTACAGCTCGGCTCCTTGCATTTGAGTTTCTCGTCTGGGTATCCATCGATGTCAGTGTCCTTCCCACACAGGTAGCCGTTCCCCGCCCAGCCGATTCCACACTGACAGAACACGTAGAATTTACATAGAAGAATATACAGCAGTTCTGGACTGTATGTTACTTACAGGATGTTAATAAAGACATGCTACAGCAGTTCTGGACCGTATGTTACTTCAGGATGTTAGTAAAGACAGCGTTGACAAACCCTACCTGACAGGAGACTGACCCGTCTCTTTCCGCCTGACACTGAGCATTGACATCACAGGGGTTGGTCAGACTGTTGCCACAGCTGATCTCAGGCTTACAGCCTTTGACTTGATCTCCTGTGTAACCTGTCTTACAGCTGCCACAGTGATAAGAGCCCTGGGCAGAGAAGATAACTTTGATAGAGTTTCTGTGAACAGAAATGCTGAACTACTGCGCTGAATGGAATGAAATGTTCCGTGCAGTCTCACCACAGAGTTGTGACAGATTGAGTTTTCAGTGCAGCCTCCATTGTTGGCTCCTTTGCATTCATCAATGTCGTCACAGACCTGAATGGTGAAAAATGAAAAAAGTGTTGCATCTGAAGGTCTTTTTAGTTACCCTGTAACAGGATTACAGTATTTAATGTTTTATGAAAAAATATAAAAGATAAACATCTGAAACTTTTTTCTGCAGTAAATAGGACTATTATTGAGCCACCACCACCCCTCATGTTAACAGATTCATTTGCTCTGCTGTGCCCCTGCAATATTGCTGCCCTTCGGAGAGACCAGACCCCCACTTTGAGAACCAGAGCAACTAGATGTATGTTGTTGTATTGAGGTGCAGCTAAAATATTATATCTTTCTTCCACTTTATAGTATTTTTCGTGTCATTGAATCAACTCAATAATGGAGTTCAACATTATATTTAAAGTACAGCATATTTTAACCCCTCGGTTACCTGTTTGTTGGTCTGAGCGAAGAGAACGCCTACGCCCTCTACTGGCAGACCTGTGTATCCAAGAGGACAGACATCACAGCGATAGCCCGGGGCGGTGTTCACACACTTCACTCCAGGGAAGCAGGGGTTAAACTGACACTGTAGGAAGGAGAAGGAGAAGGAGAAGGAGAAGGAGAAGGAGAAGGAGAAGGAGGAGAAGGAGAAGGAGAGTGGCACGGTTGATGCTACAGAATGTGTGTGGCTTCGTTAAGAAGAGGTTTCAGGACACATAGGAGAAGGAGAAGGAGAAGGAGAGTGGAGGTTTCAGGACACGTAACGCCGAAGAACCAAAAAGGCTCAGGGCAGACGATCAAACACACGCATGTGCGTCTCACATTTATGTCATATTCACCAAACTTTACCGTCCTCTCTAAACACCAGACAATGTAATAACGTCCAGAAAGTAACGTGTGTGCCGTTATTTTCATTCACCCTGGCTGTAATAGTTATAGCAGTGTATGGCCAAAAACAATTTAAACTTGGAAAAAATACAGTATGACCACAAAAAAAAAAAAAGAAGAAGAAAAAAAAATGTTCTTCTTGCCATCTTATTTCCTCTCTTCTCTCTGGTTTAGGTATTTAGTATTAAGGGATTCATTATTATTTTACCTTTAATTTAATTAAAAGTTCCAATTTCATGGTTTATCAATTCTGGGATGTGGACATGTTGAACAGCAGAAGCCAGATTTGATAATTGAAAAATATCAACTGCTCTTCCTGTAATACACCAGACTATGATTACGTTTCATTCGAATGGGTGGAAAAAATGTGTTCTAATGAGTTATGTACAACTTATGTTTGAAGATTTTATGTTTTAAAAATAGAAAAAAAGTAAATTTGCTAAAATTCAAACAAGACAGCCAGAAGAGCTAAATGTTGTTCTGGAAGCAGCTTGAAAACAAGTGTGCTAAAAAAGATTAGCAAAAAAACAAAAACAAACAAGTAACATAATTAGCTACTATTTAGCCAAAGAAAAACACATAACAAATGATACCTAAACTAAATGTATGTGGTTTAATTTCAAAATAGAATTTGTCCAAAAGTTAGCATACAACATGTACTGCGTGCTAATATGTTAGCATACATCTTAGAGTGTGAAGTGGATACAAAATGTGACTAATTTGAAGAGGGGAAGTCCAAACATTTTATATCCTTGCGTCCACACCTCACATGCAGTTACAGTGATATTCAGAGAGTGAATGATGATGTACCTCGTCCACGTCGTCACAGTTGTAACCGTCTCCTGTGTATCCATCAGGACAGGGTCCACACTCCACTCCCTGTGCTGTCTCTATACACATATCGTCACGGAAACACACCCCTGGGGTACAACTGGGTTTCACCACCTCGGGTCCACCAAAGCCTTTAAACCCAGCAGATTAAAGTCACATTTCTTTATTATTAAAAAGAGGAAAAATAGCCCTTAGTTTTTTTTTTTGAGAGGCTGAGGATGATTTTACCGCAGGCCTGACACTCTGAGATGGTGTTTCTGAGAAATGAGGTCTCCTTCACCTGTGAATGTTTTAACATCAACATGCAATGGAGTCAAGTGACTAGAAAGGAATGTTCAGAGGTTGGAAAACAGAGGTTAAGAGGAAGAGGAACTCTTGGAGACCTTACCTGCTGAATGAGGACGTCCTTCAGTTCATTTATCACCTTGGTTAAGTCCAGCATTTGATTTGACAGCTGTTTTGTGTTGATCCCTAAGAGAAATGAGAAACGTTGCATTTTCGCTGATGGACTGAAAAAAAAAATCCTGCTATCTAGTCTATATGACATTGCGTTTCTGCAAGTTATGAATCAGTGTCAAAGTGTGAGCCAAACTTCAGGTCCAAGTCAAGTCTTTGTGTTTGCAACACAAGCACTGATCGAGTGTTAGACTTGCAATTTGGATTTCTGATAATAACTTTTTGCCAATATCCGATCCGATATATTGTCTAACCACTTTTTTTAATTTCTGATTCCAATATCAACCGATATCGATATGGGCCTGGTAATATTTATTGATTTATTTGTCCAAACCACTGTATGAGTTGCTGACACAAGCATTCTGCATACAATCCCTTGATTATTAAAAAAGATTAATTAAATGCGTTGCAATGCTGCCATCTAGTGATTTTAACTTCCATTTACAGCCATTTATCCCCAACTATTTTCATTTGATGAAATCCAGGCATTGCATTATAGGGTCGGATAACGAAACTTACAGATATTATAAAATTCTGCTAATGTCGGGCTGATATATTTATTTATTGGATTTACCCCTACTTGAAGTCTTACCCAGAGTTTGAACCGAGTCTCTTTGTTGGAAATGGCAATCCTGTAATGAAGCAACATTCTCAAAAGTGTCTCCGACCACCAGCTTCAGCTCGTCTAAACTCTCCTGTCAGAAAAAAAAAAAAAAGTAAGTTAGCTGTCGACTGCACAGTCACAGTTAAGCACCTTATGTGCACGTTCACCGGGACACCGTGGCTCGGGGGGGTCACCTGATCTCTCAAAGGCATGGTTTTGAGCTCCACTGTAGCATATCCTGCAGGGAGACCTTGGAAGGCGGCAGGGAGATCCCTGATTGTCTCCACCAGCCTGCAGTCCAGATGCAGCTCCACCCCTATGGGCCCCTGCTGCTGCAGCCCCTTCAGGTGGAACAACAGTCTGTGTTTCTGGCCGTCTGCCAGCACCAGGTTGTTTAAAGTCACAGAACTCATCCTCCTGTCCGTCCGCAGGTAGCGCAGCAAAGCTGCAAGGGGGAACAGAGAAGTGACAGCGGACGAGGCAGTGACGGCAGAGAGCAGAAACAAGAAGGAACTTGTGAAGGGAATTCATCCTAAAGATCTGTATACTTCATGACATGGATAAGAATCTACAGCAAACTTCACTTTGGATTTTGAATTCAGGATGTCAATTATAGTCTGTAGTTTGTGGCCGAAACTTTAAAGCTAGAGAAAATGGAAGCGATGTTATATGGGACCTTACAGAAAATAATCATTACATAACATTCTCTGCTCTGTCTGTTTGGATCTCCTCCAGAGGAAGAGCAACGTTTCATTTGTCTGTTGTTTGGTGCTGAAGGGGTTTTGGAGAAAACGGTTGCTGGGTTTGATAGAAGTGTTGAGATTGAGCCAAAACAGAAACGTTGTGAACAGTCAGTAGAACAAAGGTTAAACACTGGGTGGAGCAGCAGGGAACTGCAGGGAAAACACATTACTGTCTGACCCTAAAGTCGACCTCACTGTGGTATAAGAGTTGTGATTAGTGCAGTTTACCTCTGTTGAGCTTCCCCATCACCGTGAACTCAAAGTACTTGCTGTTGTCACGCGGGTTGTAGAGGCCGAACACTGTGGTTCCAGACTTGGGTTGCAACTGGAATGTGGTCAAAATGAAGATCTCATTCACACCTTGATCGGCCAGACCCCCCTGCAGCAGGTCTGGCAGGCAGTCAGGTGAGGTGAGCAGATCATAGACTGTTGGTGAGACACGGGTAAAGAACATGAGCACTGAATGATGGGATATACACTATATGACCAAAAGTATTGGCTCACCTGCCTTGACTCATGCCATCCCATTCCTAACCCAGAGTTCAATATGATGTCGCTCCACCTTTTGCAGCTATTACAGCTTTTTTGGAACTGTCCAAAATGTTTTGGTGTCCTGAAGCATCAAAGTTCCTTTCACTGGAACTAAGGGACCAAGCCCAGCTCCTGAAAACAAGAAAATTCCATGCTCCCAACCTTGTGGGAACAGTTTGGAGCGGGCCCCTTCCTCTTCCAACATGACTGTGCACCAGTGCACAAAGCAGGGTCCATAAAGACATGGATGACAGAGTCTGGTGTGGATGAACTTGACTGGCCTCCACAGAGTCCTGACCTGAACCCAATAGAACACCTTTGGGATGAATTAGAGCGGAGACTGAGAGCCAGGCCTTCTCCACCAACATCAGTGTGTGA